GCGACACCGCGGTGCCAAACACCATCGGTTCCTCCCCACAGAGGAGCTGTGAGCGGGACACGCGTGTGCCCGGTCCTGACCCCGGCAGTGGCACGTCCCTGGGGCGGGGCGGTAGCCTACATCCTACATCCCACCTTTCACTTTTAATTTCGTTAATAAGGAACTTGTATTTCCTACCATGGTGTTAGTAACCTTTACGACTATTAGTTTAGTTTCTTCTCAACAGCAGATAACAAGTAAGAAGGGTGCTCTGCACCTCGACACCAGACCTGACACATCTCCGTAATCCAGCATTTTTCATCCTGAGCAACCACCTCGTTATTTGTCAGATTTCTTACAGCAAAGCTGCCACCCCTTCAGCAAACACAATTCTCGTTTAAAGACACATCATGGGACATTCAGAATTTTGTGGGGAAGGACAGCAGGAAAGCAGAAGAGCAACAGTTACATCAGGGCGAGCACCAGCAGGACCAGGCCAAGGTCCTTCAAACCATCTCCCTCACGCTCTGTCGCTCACACCCTATTTGGCCTCTTTCTAGCGAAAGCTCGAGTTAGGGTATTTCTTGCCAAAAACCACCCTGCACACCACGAGTTTGCCTGCACTAGTGTGCTGCACAGCCGCGCTGTTCCTGTGCCCACTGTGCACAGACAGGGACAGGACACCTCAGGGCTGGTCCCACACTCCAGCTCCTGGGCAGCAGCAGCAGCACCGTGCCCAGCCAGCTCAGGCTGCACATGGGAGAGTGCAGAGCACTCGTCCCCAAAAGCCACTTATCCCCCAGCCTTTCCCATCTCACCAGCTACACTCCTGGAAAAGCCATCGACACATACAAATCAGAGCAGTTTCTAGCCAACACACTGAAGAGCTCCACCAGGAACTCTACAAGACACTGGCCCATTTACTTCTGGGACCTTGCAATCGCAAAGAAATCCTTTGATTTCTCAGTTCAGGATGAGGAATAGTATCAGTAGTAGTAGGTTGGTCTCATTTTGCATGGGCTTGTTTAAACCCACCATGCAAGTTAACTAAACCGAGCTCTACTTAAGGCACACACCAGTCAACTCCCACCAGAAAGCACACGACTCCCACCAGCACCTCTCCATGAGCCCTGGCTAACCAGATCTGAACGTGTTCCATTTACAAATGATGCTCTGAAACACACCGAGATCCTTCCAGATGTTTGGTATTCACTTACCTCCAAGAATGGTTGACTGGTTTTGAGCCTTGCTGCCAACACATGGGACAACGAAAGATTGTCCTACCTCTTCCCAGGACAGGGATCAGTCACACTCAGGACACTTGATCCTCCCTGTACAGCTATCAGGATGCACCACTGCAGCCATCTACTTCTAGTTTCGTCTCCTCAAGACACTGACTGCACTGTTTAGTTTAACTTATTGGCCCTTTTCAGTGAAAGCTGAGAGACAAATGCCTCAAACCAAAATTCCTAATAGACTTAAAATAAAAATAATGTTTAGGCAGAAGATAGAACCACAGTGTTCCCACCAAAGAGAAGGCCACAGCACAGAGTTCATATTATATTCTTATACAGCAGAGAATCCACAGGGAAGAAAGATACCGTGACACAGTTGCATGGAAACTTCTGATCAGAGCTTATTAAACACACACACACACACAGACACATGCACACACACAAAAATCAGGCTTCAAATTCTGCTTCTCATAGAGTTATCCGTACAAAACCATTCAGAACTCAAGGCCGGGTCAGCTCAGTCTGCAGCACACGGTGAGGATTCCCCCGTGTTCTGCCCATCCTCAGGCACGACGTGAGGGGTTGGGTGGGAGAGGGCAGCAAGGTCCTCTTAGGATTCAGGGTTATTTTACCATTTTCCCCACACACGCTAAACAAACTGTGCCATCTCTGTCTATTAAAAAAGTTAATTTATTATCCCCTGCTGGTAAAAAAGTGAAAAGCTATACTCTGTTAGACCAGTAAGAAACAGAATTACTCCAGCTCTTTGGAGGTTTTTAGATACAACTTCGAAGCATATTATTCCACAGAGGAACAGCAAGTACCTTTCTTCAGAAAGGAAACTATAATGGGTCAGCTTTTTTCTTTTAAGCAGAAGAAGATGTATCCATTACAGGACTCCCTTTCTGTGCAGATGAAATCCCTCACATCCTCCAGGCAGCACATACAGAAAGTCTCCTAAGGAGAAATACCTCTTTAAAAAGTGACTTCAGGAAACAAGTGCAAGTTCCTTTTAAATCTGTTTTATAAGAAGGATACCAATGTACATTTTAATAGTTTTATTTTAATTTTCCCCAAGGGGGAACCAAAGGCAGAGAGGTGTTGTGAGATACATCACGTTGTTCTTATGGGTAAATCAATTTGCAAATGTTATTTTACCACTCTATAAAAATACACACAGGAGTGTGAAGGAAGCTAAGTAGTTAGAGTGGCTGTCATGGAGCAAAAATGTTAAATAGAGTCAGGTTTTTTTCCCCCTAAAAATTGTGGCTCCTTGTATTCCATAAAAGCAAAGTCTTTAGTAGCCACAGGAACAGAAATTTAAGTGGTAGCTTCCTTTGAGCATGTGCACACAAAAGCATTAGTAAAGAACTGCTCCCATGGTACTGGACAGCAGATGTGAGCGACAAAGCCCCATCCACAACAGGAAAGAAGATATGCATTCAGTTTTATTATCTCAGCTTCCCATCCAAACTCCTGTAAACAGGCTCCATACCATTCAGGCATCTCTGATAAAAGAGTCTATAGTTCTTATAAAAAGAAGTCACACTGTAAGATCAAGATATTTACCCTGTATGTGTTATGTGAGCGCAAAGAGGAACAACCTTCCAATTTCTCAAGACATATCCAAGCAATCTGTGACCCAGTTCCTTTCTCTGTCCAACTGTGCTGTGGGTAACTCAGTTAAGTGCCTCTTCACAGGTAGAGACAGTTTGCTTTTAAAAATATTAAGGACACATTTTTTTTAAATCTTTAAGAACTTCCTGGAAAGTTACTGTGGAAAATGAAAGTGCTCCCATGGTGAAACCAATGTGCAAAGCTCTACAGACTTTTGTCCTTGCTGCTTTCTTAGTATTCCTTCCCTTAGCAGATTCATGTTAAGATGAGGCTCAAGACATTGCAATGAGGCCATCATCCACCTGTAACAAGCAGGCAGACACTGGAAAATGTTTTATGTTTAGTCATAAAACGTGGAATAAGCCAAAAAAATATTGTTCAGATATGATCTGGATGGTCTCTCAGGTGGGTTTATATACCAATGGCCTGTAACACTCGCTTTTCATTCTCATTGAGATGGTCTGAAAACATTGCATAGCAGGGCTGCTGTGCAAACTGACAGAGGAAGTCAGTGAGATAGGCCTGCAAGGAAGACAGAAAGACCCAGTTAGCGTCAGGTGACGTCACCTTGGAAATCCTGTTTCTTTCATGTATCAAATGATAACCCTCGGCATGCACCCAGTGAGACAAAGGGATTGTGGGGAACAGAAAAGCGATGCAGAAGGAAGGGCGGCAGCAGAGGGGAAGGGCTGATAAACAGCTGCCAGCTGGTGGTAAAAAACAGGAGCAAAGTCTCATATGGGGGGGGGCTATGACTGGATGGGAACATCTCCCAGTGGAGTAGGGAATTCTGACATGTTCAGTCTCCAACCCACTTCTGACTTCAGCAAATAGTTGGGAAGCTCAGGGCTAGAAAAGTCTCATCTCCTTCTGTTCAAAAGCTTTGTTCATTCACATTTCCAAGTTACAAATATGGATCCAATGAGGAAAAATAGCTCCAGGCATAGAATCATAGAATGGTTTGGGTTGGGAGGGACCTTAAAGATCATCCAGTTCCAACCCCCCTGCCATTCCCAGGATACTCAGCACTTTCCGAAGTAATTGCAATGAACTGAGTACATTTGGGACAACAATCAGTAACTGGTGTTTACAGCTTTGTTAAAGTACAATGGAGAAAAAATAAGTTTATAAAGAATGATAGGAATCTGATTTAAAGAAAACCTCATTTTAGAGCATCACCTGGAGATCTATTTGGTAAAGAGGGTCCTTTAATGCATCTGGATCATCCTCTTCATCATCTTCATAGTAATCCTCATCTGTCAATGGCAAATCAGCAGGTTTTAACATCAAACAGAGCAAAATATCTCAGGAAATATTCTACTTGACTACTGCTGAAATCCAAGGACCCAAGAACAAATAGTTTCAGTACTGCTGGGTAAAAAAAATTGTATCCAGAATATTCACTCCTTAAGTTCAGATGATTAGAAAACATGACACCCCAGAAGAAGAAGGGTCACAGTGGGAGTCCCAAGGACTGCGCAGGTGAGACGAGCACACACGGGATACCAGACAAGCAGGTTTGTTAGTTACGTGCACTATTATCTTATGCCTTAACCTATGTCAGGGTGACACATTTCCAATTCTGTGCTAATGTAAGCAGTCTCCCTTCTTGTATTTGCCTGTAAGGTTTGCTCTTCTAAGACTATATGCAAACTGGAGAGCAGAGGAAAGGAGGTATTATACCCACTCCATCTTTATGCAGCTATTATTTCTCAAGGCCAGTCCACAAACAAGCTCATCCACTGCTATGACATTGTCATTCCAAGGTCACATCTACATCTTTAAGCATCAATTTTCTCTTTAGAAGAAATAACTGCATGAACCTCACAGCAACACGAAGCCTACACAGCATTTGAACTCTCAGGTGAAAAATGCAGTTATTTAATCATCGTGTTATTCAAAGACTTGTCCCTCTCTTACAGGAAAAAGTCCTTATTCAAAACCCTAGTGTAGGGATTTCCTTCCCCTTGCCTGCATCCTCTGCTGAGCTGCTGTCAAGGAAAGAAAACTTTGTCTAGAATGTCATCTGCTCTATTTTCACTTCGAGTAAGCACTTTAAAGCTGTTCCTTACCATACTTGTTTGTGGAAAGAATATCTGATAAGAACTGTCCTGCTAAGCCTTCATCTTCATCCTCATCCTCTTCTGGATCCTCCCACATATCATTCGAATCATCTGTTTAGATGACAAAAATTTCTAGAATTTAGAATTTCTAAAGGATTATTGTAAAGAAATAAACAAAATCCAGTCTGTCAGTCACTATACAAGGGGCTGTGTAATTTTTAGGCAAACATCCCTGCTCGGGTAGGTGGATGAAGGGAAACACCTGCAACCTTTACCATCCCTTTGGAATCAGTAACTCAAGAACTGAGCTAAGTGAAAAACAGCTGCAAGAATGGATGCCTGAAGCAGAGGATGAAAGGCAAACCAGATACACCAAGAAAGGATAATTTTATCAGCATGTAGTCAGATCTCATCTTCCAAATTGGCCCAAAATAATTTTCAGGTTTAAGAATACACAACACTGATTCATCCTTTGGATCATTGTTAAAGCCTCTGTCATTACAAGTACACTATTTACTACTGTGAGTTTCCTATTACTATAAATGCTTCTGAAGAGATTACAGAGTAGACTTAAGCCATGAAAGAGGAAAAGCAAAGCCAGTATTTCACCTTGGCTCCAATCTGCAGTTGTCTGTCTAGATGCATTTGCTTCCATCGCATTAGAGAGTTCATTTATTATTAATTTTAAGATTTTTACTAACAAAGGAATGTTTGTCCAGCGTTCAGGATCTATAAGAGAAGAAAAATATATATTCATACTGCTTTTAATAAAAAGTTGTTAAAAACATGCCTTTTTTGTGGTGGTGGGGTTTTTTTTATTTTGCCATACACTTAAAGGGCTCACAGACAAGCAAAAACTTCCAGGTTGGGAAGGGACTGACAAAAAAACCCCCAAATGTTCCTTCCATACACCTTCATAGATAGATTTCCAAAGACCTAAATTGCAACATCAAATCTTGCATATTTTGAATGAAAAGACAGTATAGTCAAAATCTTCACAGCTCAATTAATTTGTGAGTCTACTCAGTGTTTTAATAATCATAAAAATCATAATAATAATCATAAAAATTTAAAAATCATAGTTACAGATGACTTCATTAAGTTATTGTTACACATCTAACAGGGCTTTCAAGTAAATGAGCAGAGCAGCACGCCCACGCGAGGCTCTACCCTTTCTGAAACACTGCAAGCTCCAACTTCTCACCAGGGCTCCTGCAAGGCCTAATTATTCCATAGGGACAGCTAGACTGTTTTTGTCCCTAATTACAAAAGTAAATATCCTATCAAATAAAGAAACTGGGAGCACTAGTTTTAACTCTTCAGGTGCTCAAGTGCAATTACTGTTCTTCTATTTGACTAGCCAATATCTGAAGATGATCAGAGGGCTGGAGCATCTCTCTTATGAGGAAAGGTTGAGGGAGCTGGGCTTGTTGAGCTTGGAGAAGAGAAGGCTCCAGGGAGAGACCTCATTGCAGCCTTCCAGTACCTGAAGGGAGCTTAGAGACAGGAGGGAGAGGGACTTTTGACATGGGGAGAGGGTGCATGGGGAGGGTCCATGTCCCCCTGACAGGACCAGGGGAAATGGTTTTAAACTAAGAGAGGGGAGATTTAGGTGAGACATTAGGAGGAAATTTTTCACCCAGAGGGTGGTGAGGCTCTGGAACAGGTTGCCCAGAGAAGCTGTGGCTGCTCCTCCCTGGAGGCACTCAAGGCCAGGTTGGATGGGGCCCTGGACAGCCTGATCTAGTGGTTGGCCACCCTGTCCACAGCAAGGGGTTGGAACTGGATGATCTTTAAGGTCCTTTCCAACCCAAACCAGTCTGTAATTCTATGATTCTATGAAGGCAGCATAGAATCATAGAATCACTACTTACCTCTTACACCTCTAGCGCTTTCCCCTATTTATTTCCTTTACTAAGTGTCACTGCATCACCCCAAATCCCCCAAGCCTACAGCAGCTGAAGGCCTGAGGAGCACCAGCTGCCTTGATGAGCCTCCAGTTTGGATCCATGCAGCCATTACATCCTGTCCCGCAACTGGTTGTACACAAGCTCTAGCTCAGCAAGTTGCAGAATCAAGGTTTTGACTGACCACTGAGGACAGTGTCTCCTCAGCATCTTCTCCTCTGGAGCTCAGTCCCCAGGAAAAAAACTGCCTAGTGCTCTCTCCGATTAATGTATGAATCTCTATCCAGTCATCTCCTATCAAGGATTCTGGGGTTACCCACTTAAAAATAAGACAAGTCTTATGCAGGAGGCTGGCCAAGCTGTCCTTAAAAGCAACCTCTACCTTGTTGAAATCATTGCTGATATTTGTGAAAGTCTGTCTCACGAAAAAAACACTTAAAAAAAAAAATCGCTGCATTCACTAAACACACTTTTCTCTCAGAGAACCTAATAGGCATCATGAAATTATCAGTTTGTCTCATTAGATGGAACAGGATGACAGAAAGTAGTAGTGGGTAAGTCCCTATCCCATAATCACCTCATCCACTTAGATTAAATCAGAGACATCAGGAGTCTTCCAAATCAGTCTGTGGCAGAATTAAAGCAAATAACAGATACATTAAGCACATGAAGTAGGGATTAGCTCTAAAAAACAACATGCACATTCTGTAGGAAATATCTCCCGTAGCTGTGTGTGATCTGCAAGATCAAATTTAAGGCCTTTCATAGCATCTGCTAACAAGGAAAAAAAAAACCTGTTAAAAACAGCAAAATGATTACTTACTTTTGGCCGACTTTGATCGTGTCCGTATTCCCTCATCCATATTAAATATTTCTTCTCCCTTTACCCTAATGTCCTGAAGTCGCTTGTCATCTGTGTTGATGCCATACTGAAGGAGTTTACACAAAGCTACAGAGCTGGGGAGCAGGGAACAGGAAAATTACAGATCAGAATTTCCCCAAACTGTCTGGCTTTCACAGTGAACTGTTAATAGGGAATGTATCTCCAGAGCAGACTTGCAGATACCCCCCTTTCTACACTTTTGCCCAGAAGAAGCATTACAGAATTTTCCTGCTTCTCCTGCTTTATGTCAGCATCTGAAACTGGACTCATCTCCTGACCTGCACAGCAAGCCAAAAACTGACACAGCTTTGGATTAAACAGTACCAAGCAGTACATACATACATGAAAGGTTTTCCAGTTTAGAAATGCCATGAGGTTAAACACACTCCTGAAGCATCGTGTGCAGATGAAGATGGAATTAAGAGGAAAGCAGTGGCAAGAAACTTATTTGGCTGATCTGCAGCCATGATTCATCTCTTCTGTGTACATCTAAATGTCAGTCTCCTTCACAGCTCAGCTACACTCAGACCTTCTAGCTTGCTCCCTCCATATCTTCATGTGTTCTTTCCATCTCTGCTGCTCAGATTCCTACACCACTCTCAAACCTTCTCCAGTTCCAGGCTGTTTTCAAGCCATACTGGGCATGACTTTGACTACAGGTTAAGGCCACCAATTTACACTTGGCACTCCTAAACCTCTCTCCTGGCTCCACAAGTCTCAAACTGCAGTTTTGGAGCTTCATGGAACTCACTCTTTTCATGCTTTCACTTCACACCCTCTTCCTCTCCCACACTATGGCTCTGAGTTCCCATACTGCTGGTTTGGACCTAGATCCTACATGCCACCCCTGAGCTGCCCAAAGTTTTCCCATTCTTTCATCATGCAAGTCAAGAGCAAATAGCCACTTCTTCAACCTGCCACTCACAAGGATGGGGACTGATGCACACAGAAGGTGTCAGCTATCTCCATGTTCCTCTTACTGACTCTGAACAAGAGGGTCCTCTGACCAGGCATTGCTTTGCTTCAGTATGCAGGAAACACCTAACATTTTCTAATGCACAATAAGGATCACCATAAATAACCCAAATCCAAGTGTTTCATACAGTGTGGAGGCCCGCCAAGCTATCTGTACACACAGAGCTCTAATCCTGGACAATACAGAGCCAGCACTGAACAACAGTTTAACGTTGTCCTCCCTGTCAGCATTGGCCTTGACTTCTCCTTGTGGCCATAAGCAGCCTCAGGGGATCCTGCAGATAACCCTGCTCTGTCAAAATGGGGATAAACCACTGTTCTTAGGGATGAAACAAACCAAGCGTGACCAGAAACAGCACCAGATCCCCAAATCAGACTGCCTCTTCTTCTGCATGATAATTCATGAACTTCCATTTCAAACTTGCTTTTCCTTATTATTTATTTCACAGGCTATTTGACTGCACTATAACAATAACACATCAACACATACTAAGAAGTGAGTTAACAGCTGGTGAGATTCTTAAGAGTGGTCTGTTAGGCTTCACATTTCCAGAAAAATCAAAGACAGCAGCTGCAGCAAGACTTAAATTAATACAGAGCACTTCATGCTTTGGAATATAGTACTCGGCCTCCACCGGAACACAAATGTGCTCCTACAGCAAAAGGGAGAGAAAGCTGTTTCAGCTGATTTCTTTATTGACTTTTAAGAGATCATTAAATCAACATGAAATCACCAGATTCTCTTAGGAAACCATCCACAATGCCCTGAAACTCTATAGTAGTCTATAAAGCTATTTTCATGCACAGAAGTTCAATCTCAAAAGCACGCCTGTGATTGCAAGAGACACCCCCTTGCCCCTTGGGTCACCCTGTTCCAGCACAGAGACACCAGGCAGCAAGAGGAGCACTTAGAGGAAGATCAGAGATCGCCCCAGTTACCACAGCTCTCCTGAGCCAAACTGACAGTGCAGGAAAAAATTAATCCTGTCCAACGCTGGCACAGACTAACCCAAGTGTGAAGCAGCTCCGCACTCCCTTGCACGCGGTGTGTGTGACCGCAATGGGGTGATCAGTCAGCGAACGTTAACGCACGGATCCTGCCCAGGAAACCATCCTACCTGACTTTGCCTTCATACTGCCCATAGAACAAGTGCTGCCGGCTCATCCACTCGGCCATTACAAACTCCAAGGCAGGTTTGCCAGTTGGTCCAGGGAGACTACACAGGAACTCCAGGAGTGGTTCCAGTTGTGAGTGAACCAAGTGAGCAAACACCATAATCAAGGACTACAGGAGGAGAAAGGAAATGTTAGCTGTACATAATTTAATAACTGCAAATGTTTTATCAAATATTCAAGTAACTGAGTTTCCTGCAAGAGTAGAGACTGTGCTTACTCACTCCAAGACGAAGAGAAACTACAACCCTCTGCAAGGCACCGTGTGCTACAAAAGCAGGCAAGAAACTACTACAGTCAACAGCA